TGAGCGATACCACCCAAACACTTCAGTATCATTTTAAATGAATTGCTATACCTTCTTAATTTTTTCTCCTATATAACTTAAATCTTCTTTCCAATAGCACTTCACTAAGCTCAGTCTGAATTCAAGTGAACTACTGCAAAACACTTCTTAACTGGATCCCTTGTTCACCCTTGCTCCTCTTCTTTCCATTCTCTACCCCACATCTAGAGTTATCTTGTTAAATATGATCATATCTCATTGTTCTAAGTCATTCAATGACATTCTGGTGGTCTTTGCTATGGACTGAATTGTGTTCCCCCCAAATTTATATGTCAGAGCCCTAGTCCCCATATGATTATATCAGGAGATAGGGTCTTTAGGGGGTAATTAAGGTTAAATAAGGCCATAAAGATTGGACCCTAATTCACTAGGACTATAGCCTTATTATTTTTAAAGGAAGATCTTTATCTTCCTTCCTCAGACCCCCTTGATGTGAAGATACAGTGAGAGGTGGTCATCTGCAAGCCAGGAGAGAGCCTTCACCAGAACCAGACCAGCCTCCAAAACTGTAAGAAAATTAATTTCTGTCATTTAAGCCACCTAGTCTATGGCATTTCATTATGGCAGCCTGATATTTAATATAGTCTAATTATAAAAATGAAATCATTAAGAATTAAGTGAACATCCCTACCAATTCTGCTTTATCTTATACCTCCCAGTCTCTAGTTCAAATCATAGCAACCCTTAGAGCTTTTCATTTTCTTGAATACATTTGATGCTTACCACATGGCCTTTTCACATGTCTTTTGCTATACTTGGGTCATGATTTATTTAGTTGCCCCATTCTCATACTTCACAGTTCAACTTAAACATCACGTTCTGACAGTGCCTGTCTTGACTCTGGTCCCACCTGACTTCTACCCACAGTATCCCCTCATATGCCTTCGGTGCTCATTTATTTACCGATAAAGTACTTTCTATGGCTTGTTATTATGCATTTATTTTTGTGATTATTTTGTTAATATTTATCTTTCACTCTGGACTTACAAACTCTCTCAGGTTAGAAAATATGACTTCTTGTTCACCATCCACAGAGAATGGCACAATGCCTGGCACATACTGGACTCTCAATAAATATTTATTGAATGAATAAGATAATGAATGAGAGTTAAATAAGGAGCAATAAAGAGATGTTGGTGCCCAGCTGGCATGACTCAGTGGTTGAGTATCGACCTATGAACCAGGAGGTCATAATTCGATTCCCAATCAGGGCATATCCCCTGGTTGTAGGCTTGATCCCCAATGTGGGGTGTGCAGGAGGTAGCCAATCAATGATTCTCATCATTTTTTTTTAAATATATTTTATTGATTTTTTACAGAGAGGAAGGGAGAGAGATAGAGAGTTAGAAACATCGATGAGAGAGAAACATCGATCAGCTGCCTCCTGCACACCTCCTACTGGGGATGTGCCCGCAACCCAGGTACATGCCCTCGACCGGAATCGAACCTGGGACCCTTGAGTCCGCAGGCCGACGCTCTATCCACTGAGCCAAACCGGTTTCAGCTGATTCTCATCATTGATGGTTCTCTCTCTCCCTCTCCCTTCCTCCCTGAAATCAATAAAAATATATTTTTCAAAAAAGAGAAATATTAGCAAAACTAAGGAAGAACACATGAGATTGAATGGGATTACTGTGAGGAGGCCCTAATTTTAATGTAAAGACTAAGAGGAACTAAGAACTGAAATTAATGGACAGCTGAAAGAGAATTACCATTCATATTTAGCATATAATAAGTATGCAATACATGAATGAAGGATGAAGGAGTGATAGAAGAAGAATAAATAATGTTCAAGAGTATAGAAAATAATTGAAATTCAGTTTTAGAGAAACAAATAATATATTTTCAAAAAGATGTTTGTGGTCAGAAAGGTCAGATGTTTTATGGAGATCAGAAGGATGAGTACTGAGAAAAGATAATTAATTGGACTTAGAATCTATGTAAATTAGCAAAAATAAAAGCAAGTAGTTAAACAATAAGTAGGAGGCAACAAGTCAGAAGCAGTGATTATGGACTATCTTTTTGAATGTTTAGAAGCTAAAGGATTAAGTTGATGAGATAGTATTTGAAAGGATACCAGAGTCAAAGGAAATTATTTCTAGCAGATGTGGAATGAAGAATTTTTAAATTAAGAAGAAGGATGGCCAAGAAAATGAGCCAGAAGCTGAGGGGTCATTACTGTTGGATAACAAAGGTCCAGAAAAGAGAGGTTGCCAAGAAGAAAATACACATGGATGATGAGTTCAGATAGTTATTAGAGACCACTGTGACCATGATGAGGACATTACCTGTCTATATGGGCACATAGAAGAAAATAAATAGTACAAATTGCCTGCCTTAATACATGGTGGCTGCGAGAAACCTGCCAGGACAAATTCTCTCAGCGCTTTTGTTTGGTTTTCATTCATTTGACCTGGCTCCACCTAGGTGAAAGAAATTAAACAAGGGACATTAGTAATAAAAAAATGGATGAGATTTTAAAAAATGAAGAAGGTTGGTAACAAAAAGATTGAAACAGAGAGAGAGAGGACAAATGGTCAGTAGACTCCCAGAAGAAGTAGATGTGTATAGAAGGAAAGTGAGAATAGGAAGCTTGGACTTAGAATATAGGAAAGGCACTTCATATTTTGGGATGAATTACAAAAAGAATGAATAGATGGAGATTCCCAGTGATTCCACATTTGGTAATATGTTCAATGAAACCCAAAATACTCAAAATAATACATGCCCCCTATGTTCAGTGAAGCATTATTTACAATAGCCAAGATTTGAAAACAGCACGAGTGTCTATCAGTAGATGAGTGGATAAAAAGCTGTGGTACATTTACACATGGAATACTAGTCAGGTGTAAAAAAAAAAAAAAAAAAAAAAAAAAGGAAATCATACTGTTTGCACAGCATGGATGGACCTGGAGAGCATTATGCTAAGTGGAATAAGCCAGAGAGAAGTACCATATGATATCATTCATATGTAGAATCTAATGAACAAACTGAACTAACAAGCAACATAGAAATAAATCTATAGTTAGGGAGCAAGCTGACAGCTATTGGGAGGGTTGGTGGCTGGGGTGGTGTTGGTGAAGGGATTGAGCCAAAAAGAGAAAAAGAAAAAACTCATGGAAAGAAGTTTCAAATAAAAAGGAAGCTGAGGGAAGATAGGTCAAATGACCTCAAGGTCAGTAAAAGTAGGAGGCAAATCATCTGCTGGACAATGCTGAAAATTCTGGATCCAAATGGGAACTGAAAAAATATTATTTGGAGAATGTTTAATGGATGATATTTAAAACTTTAAACAAATTATACTTAGGCAATTTTTTAAAGTACAGAAGTTAGGAAAAGTTCCATTTTGAAGTCTGTTGGTGAAAGGAAAAGACCAGTAGCTTGAATAGTGCTCCCCAAGATTTCCAGAACCTAATCTCGGGAACCTGTGAATGTTACTTCATTTGGCAAAAATCACGTCTCACTTTGCAGATGTGATTGGGGATCTGAAGATGGGGAGATTACCCTTTATTATCTTGGTGGGTCCTGAACATCATCATTCATTGTCCTTATAAGAGGGAGACAAAGGGATGTTAGACTACAGAAGAGGAGAAGGCAGAGTGATGCCTGAGCAGAGATTAGAATGAAGTGGTCATAAATTGAGGAATGTGGGCAGCCACTAAAAGCTGGGAGCTACCAGACAAGGAAGGATTCTCCCCCAGAGCCTCCAGAAGGAACTAAACCTGACCTTGATTTTAGTCCTGTAAGAATCCTCTTGTACTTCTGACTTCCAAAACCAGGAGAGAATACATTTCTGTTATTTTAGCCCACTATATTGGTGGTAATTTGTCAAGACAACAATGGGAAACTAATAAAGGGAAAAAACCTATAAATTCAAGACAATAAATGTAAGTTTCTGAAGCAATTACCTGGACACACTGTAGAAGTTGAATATATTTTAGGCATAACTTCTCAACTGCCTCCATTTCTTGGTTTATCTTTAATATTACTGTCCTTTTGCCTAAATATTCATTTTAGTTTCTGGTCCTACCTTGAGAGCACTCATGAAATGCTCATGAAATGCCCATATTGTTTAAGATAGTAAAGAAAGTATTTTAAAATTACTTTTAATGAAAGACTATTTTAAAAAATCATAGATGACGTGGATATATGTATTTGTCTTTGTCCCAGTGAAAGCTCAGGAGTTTCTTACTTGAAGAGAGGATAAATGATGTTTTCACCCAGATGGAGACCAAAGACTTGGTCCGTATGTTTCTTGTCCACCTTAACCTTGAGATATTAAAGTAAAATGTCAGGTCAGCTCATGTACTTAATTGTTTTCACGTAAATGCAGCTTGCACCTCTTGAGGTAACGTAAAATAAGCCAGTCAGAGAAAAATAAATGTCACTCATTTGTGGATTATAATGAACAACATAAACTGATGAACAAAAATAGATCCAGAGACATAGAAGCATCGGACTGTCAAACTTCAGAGGGAAGGTGGGGGGAGGGGTAAGAGATCAACCAAAGGACTTGTATGCATGCATATAAGCATAACCAATGGACACAGACACTAGGTGGATGAGGGCATGTGCTGGAGGGTGGGGCAGCCAGGGAGAGGTCAATGGGGATAAAGAAGACATATGTAATACTATATGTAATTCTTTAAACAATAAAGAATTGTTTAAAAAACTTTCAGCAACTCTGAACATTAATACTAGTGTGGACAAATTGGACTTATTCACCTTCCTTCAGTTTCAAAGAGCAACTGTCTATTTCAAGCCTACCCCTTATCTCCTGCCAAAAGAGTAGCAAACTAGATATGATTCCTTCCCACAGCCTGCTCTTCCAGCACCTGCCTTTATTCCTGGTTGAAGGAAACTTCCTGGCAGCTCATTGGCCAAAGAGTAAAGAAATGGTTGCTTAGCAACCAAGTCCTGACACCACCACCACCCATCCCCCTTATACACCAAAACTGTAAAGAAGCTGTAGGCCAGCCACATAGTTCTGCTTGTGTTATAGTGAGGAGGAGCTGCTTAGAAGATGAAGCTCTTGTCCCTATTAATAGAGATATTGATAATTCTTGGGGTCACAATTAAAAGTAAGTTTTTCTGTCCTTTTTATTCTATGTGAGGCTCTTTTCCTTTAACAGTACTAAGGTTATTTAAATCAGAAGTAACCTCACTGTTTGCCCAAGTAACACCATTTTTGAATATTCAGTAATGGTTGATAGTAATTATACTCTCATTTGGGATAATACTTGAGAAGGACATTTGTGTGAGTGTGTGTGTGTGTATCAGAGATAGAGGGGAGAGAGATTGAGTTGGGAGAACAGATTGAGCAAGTGTATGAGGAAAGCATTAAAGTCATTTTTATAGTACAGGGATATTTGTAATCGTTAAGTATTATTAAATCTACAATACCATGAAGATCTAGTTCCAGGACTGTAAAGGACAAATGAAGGACTCAAAGGGTGGTAAATTGTAATAAATTTATATTCATATAATCTTTTTGGAATTTTTAGAATAATAACTCTACTTTCCATGTTTCCTAACTAGTTATTGTCTTGCAATGGAAATTATTTTTCAACCTTGTTTCTGAGGCCATTTATTGGATTAACTTTTACCCAATCCTCAGATAAGTTAATCACCATGAATTCAATTTAAGAAATATTGGCATTTAACCCAGGAAATAAAGGTTGGTATAATCCAAAAATTAATTAATGTAACACACCACATCAATAGAATAAAGGACAAAGACTACATGATCATCTCAATTGATGCAGAAAAAAGCTTTTGATAAAATTTAGTGCCCCTTTGTTTAAAAAAAATAAAACATAATAGACAGAGAATAGAAACTTCCTCAAACCTTAAAAAGGGCATCCTCAAAAAACCACACCTAATATATTTAATGATAAGAGATGAATGCTTTCCTCCTAAGATCAGTAATAGAACAAGTATATCCACTTTTGACATTTCTATTTAACATTGAACTAGAGGTTCTAGCCAAGGCAATTAGATAAGAAATATAAATAAAAACCATCAATTGAAAAGAAAAAAGTAAAACTATCTCTATTCTCTAATGATATGATCTTATATTTAAAAATCCCAAGGAATCCACTAAAAAACTATAAAAAAGTTCAGCAGAGTCATAAGATAAAAGATCAATATATAAAAATTCATTTCTATATGATCTCAATGAACAAAACAAAAATGAAATTAACAATTCTATGTACAATAGCATCAAAAAGAATAACGTACTTAGGAATAACTTTAATAAAAGAAGTGCAAAGTTCATACACTAATGACTGCAAAATTGTTCAAAGAAGTTAAAACCCTTGCCCTAACAGGATTAGCTCAGTGGATAGAGCATAGTCTTGCGGACTGAGGGGTTCCCAGGTTCGATTCTGGTCAAGTGCATGTACCTTGGTTGCGGGCACATTCCCAGCAGGGGGTGTGCAGGAAACAGCTGATCAATGTTTCTCTCTCATTGATGTTTCTAACTCTCTATCCCTCTCCCTTCCTCTCTGTAAAAAATCAATAAAAATATTTTTTTAAAAAAGAAGTTAAAGCCCCAATAAATGAAAATACTTCCCATGTTCATGGGTTGAAAAACTTGGTATTCTTGATACAGTAATATTCTCCAAATGGATCTACAGATTTGATACATCCCTATCAAAATCCCAGTTGACTTCTTTGCAGATATTAACAAAATTGTAGGAAAATTCTTATGAAAATGAATGTTTTCCAATTTCAAAACTTACTACAAAGGTACAATACTCAAGACAGTGTAGAGTTTGCATGAGGATAGACATGGAATAGATCAGTGGAATATCATTGAGGGTTCAGAAACAAATCCTCACATTGATGATCAGTTGATTTTCTAGCAAGGATGCCAAGACAACTCAGTGGGAAAGGGAAAGAATAATCTCTTCAACAAAATAATGAGGACACCAGGAGAGCCAAGTGCAAAAGAATGAATTTGGATGCAAACCTCACACCATGTGCACAAATTAATTCAAATGGGTCAAAGATCTAAATATACTTGCTAAAGCTTGACAAACTCTTAGAAGAAAACATAGGCATAAATCTTTGTATCCTTGGATTACATGTGCTACCAAAGAACAAGCAAAAAAAAAAAAAAGAAAGAAAGAAAAAATAGATAAACTGGATATCATCAAAATTAAATACTTTTATGCGTCAAAGAACATTATCAAGAAACTGAAAAGATGACCCACTGAATGGGAGAAAATTTTTGCAAATCATATATCCCATAGGGTTTAATATTCAGAATATATAAATAATACTTATGACTCATCAAAAAAAATGACAACCCAATTTTTTAAATGTGCAAGGGAACTGGACAGATATTCAAAGAAGATATACAAGTGACTATCAAATGCATGAAAAGATACTCAAAATCATTGGTCATTTTAAAAATGAGAGTCAATACCACAATGAGATACCACATCACACCCATTAGATGGGTATAATTTAAAAAGTGGAAATAAGCATTGGCAAGGATATGGAGAAATAGGAATGCTCATACATTGCTAATAAGAATGTAAAATGATACAGACACTGTAGAAACAGTTTGGCAGTTCCTCAAAATGTTAACATAAGATAATCATATGACCCATCAATTCCACTGCTATGTATAAACCCAAGAGAAATGAAAGCATATGTCCAAACAGAAAACATGTACACAGATGTTTATAAAAAAAAAAAAAAAAAAAAAAAAAACCCTAGAGTCCCAATGCACAAAATTCATGCAAGGGGCTCGGCCCCCACCCACCACAGAGGCCACCTCTGCCTCGGCCCCCACCATGGCGGCTTTGTCTGGAAGGCTGTCAGGTCCAACTAACATATTATGCTTTTATTATTATTGATTATTCATTAGAGTTAAAAGGTTTAAGCAACCTAAATGTTCATCAATGAGTGAGTGAGTAAACAAATTGTGGTATATATGTGTAATAGGATATTATTCAGCCATAAAAAGGAACAAAGTACTGATACATACTATAAGTTGGATGGACCTCAAAAACATTATAAGTGAAAGAAGCCAGATACAAAAGACCACATCCATAGAGAAGGAAAGCAGCTCAGTGCTTATCAAGGGTTGGAGAGAAGGGAATGGGGAGTTATTTAATGAGTACAGAGTATACTTCTGGGATAATGAAAAAGTTTTCAAACTAGAGAGAGATTGTGGTTGTATGACATTGTTAATGCACTAAATGTCACTTAATTGTGCACTTTGGAATGGTTAATTATATGCTATGAATTTCACCTCATTTTATTGCACCATTTTTAAAAAATGGTGCAATACTTTGGAAAATAACCTGACAGTTTCTCAAAAGATTAAACATAGAATTACTGTGTGACCCAGAAATTCCACTGCTAGGTATATGCCCAGAAAAATTGAAAACCTATTTTCATACAAAAAAACTTGTACACAAATGTCAGCCTTATAGGTAGTAGCCAGAAAGAAAGAGAAAACCAAATGTATACCAACCGATGAATGGATAAATAAAATTTGGTGTATCTGTGCAATGGAATATTAGCAAAAAAAGAAACAGAGAACAATGGATGAGCATTAAAAACACTATGCTGAGAAAAAAAAACTACACATAAAAAGCCATATATTGTATGACTTCATGTATATGAAATATTCTGGATAAGTAAATCCAGAAGATAAAAATTTAATTACTGGTTACCTAGGACTCAGAAGTATAAGGGAATTGAGGAGATGATGACTAAGGGATTTCTTTGAAGGTAATGAAAATGTTCTAAAGTTGTTGTGGTGATGATTGCACAAATCTGTGAATATCCTAAAAGTCATTGAGTTGTAGGGTTAAAAGACATATTTAATAAAAGTTATGTGCCAATGTATATTGGGGATACAAGGCCATCGAAGACAGTCCTTATCCTCGAGTAGTTTAGAGTCTAGATGAGAAAAACAGGTAAACAAGTTTTATTAATTATAAGGCTTTATAGATATTATTAAAATAGAAGTATTGAGGTATTATAGGGCACAAAGAGGGAGTGAACAATTGATCAGAAAGACTTCATAAAAGAAATGGCATAAGTTGAATCTCAAAAGATTGGTGTTCACCGAGCAGAGAAAGGAGAACAAGAACATTTCAAACCGGATAAAGGTAACAAAGACACGGGACAATAAAAGCATGATCTATAAATAAGCATAGCAGTTTGCTGTGGCATAGGATATAAAAAACACAGCAATTAATGAGGCTGGAGTGGTAGGCAGAGACAGCCTATGAAGTTTGGACTTTATCCTGTGAGCAATGGGGAGTTGTTTAAGGATTCACTCATTGAAGAACATTAATAGAATTATGCTTTGACTTGGGCAGTAAAGAGGTGGACGGGCTCTAGTTGTGAATCTCTGGTGACTATTGAATAGCCCAATTAAGGACAATGAGGACTTAAATTATAGCAATAGCAGTGAGGACTGAGAGGAGTAGATGGATAACAAGGCTAGAGAGAATAGTGTCATTAGAGTCCAGGGTCAGATTGTACCAAGAAGATTAGAATGGCCAGTAGTGCCAAATGCCAGAGAGAATGGGGAGGTAAGGGCCAACAAATGAGCACTGGATTTAATAGCTGGGGAATGTACATTTCCAGGACAGTTGTATTGGAGGAGCAGGAACAGAGCCTCATTTCAATTCATAGGAGTGAACAGGAGGGAAAAAGTAGAGACAGTGATGATGATTACAGAGCTCTTCTTGGAATATGGTGATTTGCAGGATCAGACATGAGTTTTCAACAGATCATTTATTGATTGCAGATCTACAGGGACCCAGGGAAGTGTAGAGAGGAACAGTTGCTTTTCAAGCTAGTGCTAAAAAAAAAAAAAAAACACTAAGATTCATACTTAAAATCAGCCCTTAAACCCCACTCTTTTTTTCTCTCTCTGCCCCTCTACTATAACACTTAGGGCAAAAAAAGAGTGTCCTTTTCCACTCAAATATACCCTACAAATTTGCATATTGCCTGTTCATTTTTTTTTCAAATGCTCAATGTACTTTGATTTTACCTATATAAAAACACTTAGAGAAGGATGATGCAATTACTATGTGATTATCTC